GCTCGATGTCCTCTCCTCGTCATCCAACTGATGCCCTTGAAGTTTATCCCATCTTCCGCTGGTGCTGGATAGCCCTCGGTGGGTGGCGCTGCTGCGTCGTCCCTGGCTGGTGGTCATACTGCCATTGCCACTGCCACTGAGAGTCCGAACTTTGCCTCTGGCCAAGCGGAAGAGCGGGCCCAGTGTGGGCAAAGAGGAGCATACCACGAGAATACAACCCTCTCCTAGACCGAGTATATCGAGAAGCGGGACCGGGTCTAACAAAGTTAGTTCTGTGCTGAGAAACATGTGGGGTGAATAACTCACAAGTCGGGTTCTCAGCCAGTACTACAAAAATTTCCCCAAAGATTGTGAGTTTGTAGATGGTGAGGATGAAGGCCAGGATACTGAGGCCCAGCGCGATCGAGACCAGTATGCGGTTCTTGAGTGGCATGTTGAGGCGCATAATGAATGGAATCGGGTACACAGCGAAGAATACATCTAGGAAGGCAGAGTAGGCCGAAGTGAAATAGCCCAAATCTGACATGACCTTGGTACTGGCACATTTTCCGCCCGGTATGGTTCTGTTCCAGCCGAATTCGACCGGATCGCATTGCTTGTACCACCAGACCGAGGTAGCCAATATACAGGCCTGGGAGCTGAGCGCGAGGCCCCAGAATAGTATCGTCGTCTTGAGGCCGTAGTTCAGAATGCGCTTGAGAATAGCGATGATGGCGAACTTGGGTAGCGAAAACGTCCATATCAGTACCGAACTGATGATTACATTCCACTTGAGAGCTCGCGGTATCAATGGGGGATCGATGGCCTCCATTCTCCGTCCAAGACCGTACTGGGTGCCGATTGTGATCAGGATGCAGGTGACGAGCATCACAACGACGCAGAATACGGTGATATAGTCGTCCATTCCAAGGCCACCGCCTTTGCTGGATATGCGAGTGCCGACTCTCAACGCCACGAAGACTACAAGACAGTTAGCTGCCATTCGGCGCAACATAAGAGGGCTACTCGCAAACTGTGACTGCGAACATAGACCAGCAAGCCCTATCAGCGATGGTGCCATAGTCTTCCACGTCCCACAATCCCATGATGTTGATGATTGGTGTTGCAAAGGTTTGCAGAACGTTAGACGAACGTTAGACGAACTTTAGACCCTCCTGGCGCGATAAAGTGGGCTCATTGTTAAATACACTGCCGTGGGATGCGGCGTAGCATGCGGCGTAGGATGGGGCGTAGGATGCGTCCCATGTAACGGTCAGGATCCTTCACTAGCCCCATGAAGTATCGATCTTCGCTACATAGTTGGCTTGTGTTATTTAAATTGTCAATGAATACCGTGTACAGAGGGTCGACAGGTGATCGGAAACTCCTACAGGGGAAAATAGCTGGAAAATCGTTTCGTACAGAAGATGTTGAATGACTCAAGCCAATCGAAACACAACGATCGCCAGCTACCTTCCAGAAAGGTCAAAGGATTCCTACCCCAGGAGTTTCCGATGCCCTGGCGAGACTCCGTATCGAGGAGTCCCTGTGGTTCATGACTCATTTAACCGACATCCAGCTCTCTCCCAGAACAAAAGCAACATGTACCACGTTTGTCAATGCACGCGCATCACCAAAACGGCCTACACAAAATTGAGGCTGTAGAGCCACACACAAAAGTTGTTATCACAAGATGACTTAGTAGAGTACTCTATAGACCTATGCGACAAACTTTCTCACCAGTACCTTCTTGGCCGGAGGATTTTGCGGCCCCGAATGTTGGTTTGGTGTAGAGGTGTTGGGGTGCGCGCCGTGCGCGAGGCAGCGCCCATATCATCTCTAGCACTTGTGGATTTCCAGCGCACGCGATGTTGTTCTTCGGATCTCTCTATCGCCCTGCATCGTGTGATAATTAAAACACGGTCGTTGTGGTCGCAACGACAGACGTGTTGCGCGCTGCGCTAGGAACCACTTTGGTTCTCGCCCCTGCTCGATCACTAAATTACCCACCCCATTTTCCGCAATGCGTAACTGCTACGGTGATAGATGTGACCGAGGTGCACATCGTCCCTGATTTTTAAAATGCTTGAGCTTAGAGAACATGTACCCCGAGCTTATCTCCGTGTCAAATGGACCTCCGCTTGGCGTCACAGCTCGACCACAACCATCCTATTTTCTCTGCTGCAATGTGCTAGAAGAGGCAAAAGTGTCTAAGCTGCAGATTCACGGCAACTTCAGATCTCCAGAAGTGTATGGGGAAGGGTGAGGTGCCTGTCGACTTGGCTCATCTCGCTGAGGGGCATCTCTCGCTTGCGGGCAGGGGACGTTAAGCTGAGCGACGTGCAAAAAGGCGGGACATCTATCCGCAAGTCTACTTAGCAAGTCTGCTTGTCGGGGGCAAGCGTATCACCCCGCATTATTGCGTCGAGATTTGGGGTGCGTCGCCGTCTCGACAGTTCTGGGGAGCGTGGTGCACAGTCAGTAACTCATTTCCCGCACGCGGCAGGTGGGACCATGTCAACCTCACAGCATGACTGCAGCACTTGCGTTTCGGAGTGGGATCGAATTTTTTCCGTATTATGCTTACTTTGTCCATGCGCGTAATGCGTATGGTCGCGTTATGCACACCCCACCACTTCCACATTACACATTTGACCCCTTGTAACTCAACACCACGATGACAGTGGAAGACGACTTTACAGCGATAGGCGCATTGGACTCTGATGAAGACTTTCGTACCAAAAGCTTGCCGGAAAACATGAATGCTAGCACTCTGCTCTGACGCGGAGGCACTAGGAGGAAACTGAGTCGAAGAGTCGCCTCTCGCCGTGGACGTGTAGACGCACTGCACATGCTCGACTGGTATGCCGAGGGACCATGTCAGCGTCATCAGGATGCTACGCCACATGACTGCAGTACCTGCGTCAACAGGTGAGCGCACTGTGTTTCGAGGCGAGAGCGAGTCTTCCCGTATTGTTTATGATTATGCCTTCCCAATCTGCACATCATAGCAATAAAGTGGATGGAAAAAGGAGATAACCGATATTGCTTCACCCGAACGTGCTGGCGGGTTGGACGGGTTGGGCGCGCAGCGGGCGGCGGTTTCTGCAGTTGTTGTTGGGCAGGCTTGCGCTGAACGCGGTCGCGCGTCCCACCAGATCTCCATGTTTGCAGCAGCGTAACGCGACACGCAACACGCAACTGCAGAAATTTGTTAATGTTGGTGTCTCAACTATAGGTTTCGATAGTAATACACAGTTTTTGTATCAAAATGTAATAGAAAGACGGTATTTTTGATGGCAGGGAATGAAAACGGGAGAGTCCCCGTCGCGTTCGCTGAAAGGTAGGTCTCTTCCGTTTTGTCGTCTCGGTCAGGGCATCTAGCTTTGCTGCTATGTTGTTCCTGCTCTTCTTCGCTGTGTCTGCATGCATTGCACACGTTAGCGAATGCGCTATGGACCTTGTACATTTTATCTATAACTGGATGCGATGCTACTCCAGACTGGCTATTGAAACTTGCGCCTTCGCAAAGGGAATTGAGTGTGAACCGGAACCAACAATAAGGGTATGCGCCCTCACCAGAAGCAAATTCTTCGCCGTTCTCCCCCCTTTAGCAGCTAGGATAGCTTGGAAGTAATATGAATGCACAACGTTTGCCCGTCCCTTTTGCATCAGTTTCACTATGCAGATGAAGTCTGCAGCCGGGTTGATGTGTCTCACGTCAGTCTCTTGTACGCGCTTGTCCACTTCGGGCGTACTTGTAACATCCAGCTGTGTACACAAAATTCCATGGTTTTGGAGGTGGGTTATCCCAAGCTTGAGTCCTAGATAAGACGGGTCTGTAAGCTTTGCAAAGCATTGAAGCACAGCGTTGGAATAGCAAACCTCCTTCTGGTTCGCTAACCTGCAGGGAGTGCGATTTCCGTCGTTGCAACGAGTGAGACCGACAGCGACCATGTCAGTCACCTTGCGTTGCGAAGATCTGAAGAGTTGAAACCCTCCTGCAAGATATGTACAGTATAACGTTACTGTCCAGAAAACACCAGGGTTATGCTCATGCATATGGTAATCTTGACAACGTAAGCATAAGGGGCACTCTTTGCGCCTACAATGCGCTGAATATAACATAATGGTTGCTCTTCTTGACTCGAATGATTCTTATTACATCCTCCTCATGATGCTTGAAAGAGCCGAACTCAACGTGGTTCTTGCATGAGCATGGATACTCATGATAGTAGATTGAAGTGTACTGTCAGTAAGATCGACCGCGATATGATCCGAGGATGCCCGTTCGCATTTGGAGAATAAAACTGTAGGACTGTGCCGCAGATGCATGCCTGATTATCGGTAAGCAGCTTACGCTCCGCCAATAAGCCCGCGCGTGGAAACAAGCAATCAGTTGCTCGACATTCCAGGCAGACTGCTGATCCTCCTATTCAAAGCGCCATCGACTCTGAGTTACTGAGCATCAGGGCTTCCGCGCCAATCCCTCACACCGTCGGGTGTGTCAAAGAGGCACCACTCCTTCGACACAGAGTGGAGACGGCTGTGGACGAGGCTGTCTGATGGTCTGTATGTATTGTAGGCACCGATGGTAGCGTGCCAGATGTCTGTGAGTTGGTTCACGCGAGAGGTGATGCTGTTCAGCCCGAGGGCTCGTCGATGCGGGACATTGCAGGCATTGTCGGATGGTGATGGGCTGACCAGAAAGCCCATCAGTGACTGTTGTGTGTGTGTGTGTGTGTATAGTGACTGTAATTTACTCAGACACCTTAGGTTTCTCCTATGCGAGTCTATCAAGGTATAGCTGGTATGATAACATTCTCCAGCGATTCGTACACCTAGCACCAGTACGTGGTTAGAAGAATACGTTGCTAGAGGCTAGGCGAGGTGGAAACGCCTCCATAAGTAGCAACCAAAGACCTCCCAAAATGGATGCATTTCCTCCTCCACATAGATATAGAAAGTAACTGGTTGCGTTCATGGATTTGTTTCTCGAGCATACCGAATGATGTATCTCCCTATCCATCTAACTCCTCCAAGTCATCCTGTGCTGCTCGAAGGATGCCTTTCATTTCCGTATACAGCTTTGGATTTGGAACCCTCCATCTCCCACCGTCGGGGAACACCTTCCTCCGCAATCTGTTGACGCAAGGTATTAACGATTGGTAATATGGTGTAAATGTTGCCTCTGCGGTCCCAAGAAAATCACTCTCGTCACCCACTTCTCCTTTTTTCAATTTTGCTAGCTCTTTAGTGTCGATATAGTTCCACTTTTCGTATTGTGGAACAATTCTTCCTTGGTTCGGTCCGTCGTAGTGGATGCATATCAAGAACAGCACCCAGAAGAACGACTCGAGATCGTGCATAAACGAGTGCTGTTCGTCGTCTAGAAGCACTCCAACCGCCATGAACGCCCGCGTGCCGGTCTTCCCACGTGCCCCTGACGACATCTCCCGCTGCTCGTGGATCGCAAGGTCGAGATCGATCAAGAACGCCCGCCAGGACGGGTTTTCGTCGTCCTCGTTCACCATGAGGTTGTTCAGCGATATGTCGCGCTGAAGCATGCCACCTCGCGAGTGGAGGGACTCGTATCCTTCGATGCATTGCTCTAATCCAGCAAGCAAACTGGCTGGGGAGCTTGCTTTGTAGATCGCCTTCCCGTAGTCGCGGACGATGACACGGCGGTGGACCCTGTTGACAATTGCAAGTTTTGTTGGCGAGCTCGAGCAAGGGCGCTTGCTGGGCGGCAGTGAGGCATCCGTGCAGCTCGAAGATCGCTTCCTTCCGGCTATGCTGCTGCTCCCGCTTCTCCGCGACATCCGGCGCCCAGTGTTGCTTGGCGGCGGCATCGGCCTTTCTGGCGTGTAGTTCGTTGCCTTCGTTATGTCCAGTCCTTTCCGTACATTTGCGCGGATATCGTCGTCTTGACCGCCTACACGCACCGTCTCGTGGTGGAAGTACCTCGCCACGTTCCTCACCCCCTTCTCCGTCGCCTCGCGTAGCAGCTCGCCCTCCTCCTCGCGCTCCGGATACTGCCATGAGTCCTTGACAACGAGCGGCGTGCCAGGGTCTTCTTCTCGGTGAACTTTCCAGCAGGTTGTTGCGCGGCCGGCGACGCAAGGCACTCGTTTGATCATCTTGTCAACGACGAGGCGCTCGTTCCCATTCTCACGCTCAATCTCGATGTACCGCTTGTCTCCGACTGTGACGATAGTCGGATCGAACCCCAGCTGCGCCTCGTTCATCCACAGAAACCCAAGCATTGCAGACACAAACTGCAGTCCATCCCCATTGACGTCGAACTGCTCAGAGGCGATGCCCCCGAGTCGGTCGAACTCCCACAGCCGCATAAAGGGTCCGCAGAGAGTGAACCCAAGAACGAAGCGGCGGCTGTCTTGCGCGGCGAGCACCTCCCTTGCGTATCGGCCCAGGTCAAGCCACGCTTTGGACGCTTTGTCGGTTGACGGGTTGCTCTTCAGCTCTCCAGGTATGAGGATCTGCGACCAGCGGCACTTCGAGTCCACGCCAGCGTCCGGATCGTCCACAAAGCCAATGTCCAGCTTACGATCGGCCGTAGAGCCTTGCAAGGGTCGATGGGGCTGTGCCAGCGGTCGCCGTGGACTCCGGGGTGTTGACAGGTGCTCATCCGCAATGTCCAAAAGCTGGTCTATAAGCGGTGCAAACCAGCTCAAGACATCCTTCTCCTTCGCCCCTTCAGGCCAGCCCTGCCAGCCGCTCTCCACCCGGTAGAGCGGGCTGTCTCCTTCCTTGCACTTGTCCAACACAGCCTGTGCCGCTGTTCTCAGTCCCGGCACATCTCCGAAGAATGCGTCGAAGAAACCGGGTACGCCAACGTACAGGTGTCCTAGCTCCTCCTTCAGCACATCGTCGACGTGTTTGCTGTGCTCGGCCGACTTCGCGAAGCTGCCCGTATTGATCGACAGCGGTGTTTGTTGGAAGGACGAGGAAGGGCGGGGCGGCGGCGTGGATTCGGTGACGGCTTCGTATACCCTATCCCAAACAACCTCATCGGGCTGGTTGTTGATGATTGCATCGAGTAGAGGTCGTATCCGTCCGTCGTCGAAGTTATCAGAGCTGACCACTGCATTGAGCCTCAAGAGGTCATGGAAGAGGGTCTTGCCTCCATGTCGGGACTGCAGAATTCGAGCGGCCGAGAGGGCTAGCAAAGCAGAGAGAAGATTGACTAACAAATTCTAAGTTTCTAATACGCGTTAGAAGTGCAGTAAAAATGTTCAACCTGTACTACCTTCATAGCCCACCTGGTCAAGCGCTTGTGAAGAGTTGGAGACGCCGATGTCTTCGCATATCGATCTGAAAGTATTGCGAAAGCCATCTAGTCTTTCACCTATCGGTTTAGACTGTATGATCTGCGACCGCGATTGCGTAGACATCCTCGAAGAGACATATCAGCTGCCGATATCTTGCCACAGCGTCGTCGTCGCAAACGCAATCACTCAGAGTTCTATGTGATTCGGAATGGGTAAGAGAAACCAAAGGTGACGAGATAAGACGTGTGATGTAAGTGGTGATGGTTAGACAAGGTAGAGACAAGCACGCGACGACGCGCAAACTGGGCCGGCGCGACGGCACTTCGGATTACCGATGATGACGGCCAACCCGGCCCCCAGCCAAACCGAGCCACGTGAGCACCAAAACAGCCTTACACAATAGCTATTGTCGCCATTTTTTCTAGTGGTGATATCTATAGGTTTTAACGTGGTTCACAAGCGAGCGCCCCACCCAAGCGAGCGCCCCACGAAACACCAGCGCAGCGCACGCGCAGCGACAACACGCAATGTCACAACAACACCAAGCTCTAAGACTCTATACTGAAGGCGACGTACAGCTTGCTGTCTCTGATGTTCAAAGCAGCCAAGTAAAAAGCCTACGACGCGCTGAGGCAATCTACAACGTTCCCCGAAGGACGATACAGCGGCGCTGCGACGGAAAGCGCCCTCGACGCGATTGCGAGCCAAACTCAAAACGCCTTACTAAGCTAGAAGAGGAGGCAATTGTACAGCGTGTACTTGAAGAGAGTCTACGTGGAATACCGCCCTCGAAGGCGCACGTACAAGATATGGCGGATAGACTGCTAAGGGAGCGTGGTGGGAAGCCTACGGGCAAGAACTGGATTGATAACTTTATCAAGCGTACACCTGAGCTGCGCACGCGATGGAGCCGTCCGTACGATCGCCAGCGAGCTGCCTGCGAGGACCCAGCGATTATCCGGCCTTGGTTCAGCCTAGTTCAATCGATGAAGGCAAAGTATGGTATTGTAGATGAGGATACCTGGAACTTTGATGAGTCTGGCTTCATGATGGGCAAGATATCCTCTCAGCTTGTTGTTACAGGCTCAGAGAAACCTGGGAAACAGAAGAAACTACAGCCTGGTGATCGCGAGTGGGTTACCCTAGTACAAGGCGTCGCTGCGACGGGGCGCGTTATCCCACCCTTCCTCATCTTTGCAGGCAAGGTCCTTATTACCTCCTGGTTCGCAGATCTACCTCGTGATTGGATTATCGCTGTCTCTCCTACTGGCTGGATCAACAACGACCTCGCGCTTGTGTGGCTTAAGCACTTCGATGCCTATACGAAGGCGTCTTCTGCTGGGGCGTACAGGATGCTTATTATCGACGGCCATGAGAGCCACTGCTCAACAGAATTCCAGGACTACTGCAAGGAGAACAAGATTATCGCTCTCTGCATGCCATCTCACTCGTCGCACCTCCTGCAGCCTCTTGACGTTGTCCCCCACTCGCTGTTAAAGCGCCACTACGGCGATGGGATCTCGCTCTTGGCACGCAGCCGCATCCACCATGTTAACAAGGAAACCTTCCTACCAGCCTTTAAAGAAGCTTATAAGAAGACCTTCACACCAGAGAACGTTCGCGCAGGCTTTCGAGGTGCTGGACTAGTCCCATATAACCCAGAGGCTGTGTTATCAAAGCTGGATGTGCAGCTGCGTACGCCGACGCCGCCTGCACCAGGCACTGTCGTCTGGGAGGCGCAAACACCACGCAACGCCCGCGAGATAGAGGCGCAATCTACGCTAATTCGAAATCGCGTGCAAAACTACTGCGGGTCACCAGCAAGCTCATTAGACGAGCAGGTTAAGCAGCTAAGTAAAGGCGCTCAGCAGATAGCTCATAATATGGTGTTAGTGCAGGAAGAAATGGGTCGCCTTCGAGACGCTGTTGACACGCTTACAAAGCGTAAGACTCGCAAAAGGCGGTACGTACGCGTAGAGGAGACTCTAACAGTTGGTGAGGTATCTAACTTAATTGCTGCAAAGGAGGGTAGTAGTCGTGAGGAGGGCGAGACGCCTGCGAAGAGGGTGCGCGCAGAGAGGCGCTGCGGCCGTTGCAGCGAGATTGGACACAACTCCCGCACCTGTAAGGTAGAAATATTAGATGTAGATAATAGCGACGCTTCTAAATAATGCTACATTATTGTGTAAAGTATAATAATTTGTTGTAGTGTTGTACTGCGTCGCTACGCGTGCGCTGCGCTGGTGTTTCGTGGGGCGCTCGCTTGGGTGGGGCGCTCGCTTGTGAACCACGTTAACTACTATATATAGCTATTGATATCGTGTAGGAGGCGTGGCGTTGTGGCTACGCGGTGACCTGAGAGCTGGTGCGCCTGCTACAGCACCTTTAGGCTCTCCACCACCTGTCGGCCTCGCGATAGATCTCTTGTTTATATTAGCTCTTATAGGAGCCTTAAGGCTGTGTCTCTTACCGTTTTGGGGGTTTTAAGAGCTTGTTTGAGTCGTTTTGCAGTCCTGCAAGCAGCTGCCCTGGAGGCCTGTTCAGCAGCTGTCTCAGTCTTCTCCTTCTCTCACCAACCTAGCTGCAGCCCTCGCCTGACGCCTCCACGAAACATGTGAACCAATTAGAGCCAGAAGAATTGGAGTGAGGGCTGAGTGGATTTAGCCATGTAACTCTAGAGAATCAGCACCTGATTCGCGTTGCACGAACGCGTTTTTGGGGTAGGATGCACGATTACCTGACTGGGAAGAATCAGGGGTCGATACCACGGGGCATCTTATAGTAGGTTCCAGCTTTCTTTGGCCAGAGATACGGTGATGGCGGTTCCTTTCGTTCGTACACTAATACATCCAGTTTTTGCCAAAAGGGTAGAACAAACCAGAGATAGTAAACGAGCAGCTCGCTTACTTCCTTTGGCAAATATCTGTGAATAATTTTTAATGTGCCAGTAATATTGTAGCCTTTGTGATAACTGGTGACTGTGCCCACCAGCCCATTTTCAATGAAGATACTGCGGTGGTGACCGTTTGACGTGTTCATGTGTCGGAGCGTGAGAATTTCTGTACAGCGAGCAGGCTGTCCTGAGGTGATATGCACAAGAAGTAGTAGCCTCTCTAGAAACGAGTCGACATCTTGAGAATATTGCTCAACCCTTTTTCTCTGCCACTTGATCCGACCACACTTGGCCAGACTGAGGAACTCATCACTGAGCCATTCATGCTCAATGATCGGGTCCATGAGCCATTATCCCGCGCCACTCTTGCCGCATTGCAGAATTTCAGCGTTTCTCAGGTCCTTGAGAAAGGACCACTCTCCTTGATTGTTTGCGTGGTTGTCCTCCATCTTGTATAACCGGAGAAAAGGAATCGCTTCAGATCTGCGCTCCTCCGGATGTAGGATCAGTAGCTCATTGAGATCTCTCTGCGCTAGTTTGACCTGCGTCGCAACAAAATCCCTCAGATCTCCCATAGTCAAGCTAATCTCATGATACGCAACCCTCTGGCAGTCTTCTGTCCAGATGATGAAACCTGTCCCTGTCGTATTGCTAGCAATTCTTCTAGCAACCTGTCGCTGCTTGTAAGCTCAATTAAATGGCGAGCGAGAGCCCTGCACAAGGAGACGCTTCCTTAAATCGTCTAGCATATCAGCAGGATACTCTACGTCTCCATCTTCGGCTGCCGCAACCGCTCTCCGTACCACAAGCATTTGCAATAGTTTGACGAATTTAGACAAGACTGGCGAGTAGGCAGCAGCATCGTGGAACGCTCCGGCATTCTTCTCGTCAATACCAAGGACGCCGAGGAAGACCACTACTGGGCTTTCAAACACACTTCCGCGAAGTGGATGGTCGAGCAAGGATATACAGAGTAGCAGCGTCGCTCTGTCTAACGCTCTCGTGTCCTTCCTCTGTCTCTGACAAAGCTTCCTTGCATGTTTGGCTGCCTCATGCATACAGGTTAGCTGTACAGCAGTGTATTGGTGAGGTAAGCGAGCCATTCCACCGTGGTCTTCGTCCTGACTGGTTCGGCACACGAAGCACAGAAGACGCTTCCAAGTGTATTTATAGGCTCTATAGGACTCCTTCCGGAGATTTACCATAAGTGCCTTCTCGCTCGCTCGGCTTGTGTCATCGCTGACAAAGCTGTTGATTCGAAACTGATCAAAGAAGCCAACCCTATCATCACAAACATCTGCATGTGCCTGATCGACCAAACGGTCAACGCTCTCAGCAAGAACGCACAGATCGAGCTCTAAGGCGGGGGCAGGCATATGACCAAGACGGACAGCTTTCAGGAGTGGGACGCCTTTGAACAGCTGCTGCCATCGCGTAGCATCCAGCCAAGGGTCAACTTCTGTCGCGACGGTCACACCCGGGCAACTGTCTAATCCAGCTTCTAGCGCCATCCGACTGCTAGCTAACTCTGCATCGATCAACTCGTGCAGCACGGCCTCTCTAGGGAGAGCTGCCATTCGTACGTTCTCTCGTAGGACTGGATGATCGACCACATCATTTCCGCTTGGACCAGGAGTAACCCCAAAATACGATGACTGCGCGCCAGTTGCGAAGAAGCGTTGGCAATAGACATGCGTAAAGATAGGGCTGCCATTTTCGTACAGATGTTGTAAAGGCACGTGACGGCCGCCTCTTGTGGTTCGTACTGTACGGTGATTCTGAAAATGTCTTGACATAGTGTTCTCCGCACAAGGCGAAGCTGTCACTATCTTTGGACACTGAGAGCATTTCAAGCCCCGATGTAGTGATAATCCAGGTATTGGAGATGATGTTGGCACTGGGTACGGAATCAGGCTCTGTGTTGGGTCCACAGCACCTGGGAATGCTTTCCGAAGCAGCCGAGCGACGCACGCTGCTCCTCCTGTACCATCGCGCGGACGTACGTCTGGGTGCAACTTATGCTGCGCGCGAAGGTGCGTAGTGAGCGCACTGACTGATGGGCGAACGCAGTATTGACACTTGCAACAGACCAGCACCTGATAGGGCTGGTGCAGTTCAAAAAGATCCATTGTTCGGGAGTATGGGGTGATTGATAGCTTGTGCTACCACAGTACGCGTGCTAGGCGCGACAGATACGCGTTGGTGTGATGTTCCGGGTTCACTTCGGCACATGGCCACAAGCAACTGTGATTGGCTACTCGAACAAATCGACTCGAGCCAATTTAAGCATAGGATGGAGGCTCTTTAGGTTTGGCTCGCAGTCGCGTCGACAGTGTGTACCGTCGCGTCGCCGTCGTATTGTTGTTTTAGGGACTTTGTAGATCGTCACAGCGCGTCGCAGACCTTGAATTTGGTTGTTTTGGATATCAGAGATAGCAAGCTGTACGTCAGCTTCAGTATAGGGCTTGAGAGCTTGGTGTTGTTGTGACATTACGTGGTGTCGCTGCGCATGCGCGGCGCTGGTGTTCCTGGGCCGCTCGGTGGGGTGGGCCGCTCGTTGGTGAACTACGTTAACCACGAGATCCAACATCTACATTTATTGCAACAATAAAAACACATCTCCGGCTAAACTAACTGTTCAGATCCGCCACTGCGAAGCTTATTCTATCGCAGGGCGTCAAAACTTCTCACTAGAGTTCTTCTACGGCCAATTCGCCTGCGGTCTTCCGCCTTCTTCACGCTGTTTCTTGAATGCCCTCTCTGGCAAGTCCGGAAACTTGTTTTTGTTCGCTTCCACGAACGGTCTTAGTATCTCATCGAGCCTTCTGCGAGTATGATCAGGGTTGTAAGAGACTTTGGTCATCGCACCTCCCAGCTTGCTTGGCAGTCCAGAATGGCGATAAAGATCAAAGCTAGAAGGCTTGCCTTTGTAATCGTACAACTCCGTGACGAAGTCCTGAGTATATTAGCAGGTGTGAGCTGCCAAATTTGCAAGTGCACTTACACCTTGAGAGCGGTCCTTCCTCGCCCTTATATTAGAGATAATTGATGAGATAACTCTAGAAGCTGATCCAGGCTCAATTGGAATACAGTCATCGAGCAACAAATCTAAGATAGGGGTATCCGTGAGTGCAGCGTCAAAATTTGACTTCGGATCGTTTCGCCTGTCGCGTACGCTCACGTGGCTGGGATCACTGGCAAGCGTGGCTTTCCTTGTC